TCCTTTCAACTTTGGCAACAAAGAGACAAGGTTCTGCTTAAGTGCCGATTCTCTGATTCCATCTGGAAGAAGTGCATCGACCAACTGGTTTACTTCATTCAAGGTTTTGTAACAGAACCAAAGATTTTGTCCAGAATGAGGAAATCTTAAAGTGGACACATAAAAAATGAACGAACATTTCGAAAGTCGTACGTTTCGTAGTCATCGCATTCGATTTGAGAGGGTGATTTTGACCCTGATTCTGTGCGGAAATCGGTTACGTCCGCGTACATCGAAGACCATCCCTACAAATTAAATGTTTAGTCCAAATCAGCCTCGTTTAACAACATTTATGCGACAAAACTAGAAAATATACTATTTTCAGCCACCGCATCCCAGATGGTCACGCAATCTTCAGCCGTGTGACGCGTTGAAAGTAATGTCTGAATCGCACACAACTTCTCATAATCAATGTACAGCAGGTGAAATAGAATGCTTCGATTTTTAAAATATAGTCCTTCCTGTTACTACTGAACAAGAGATTCAGTAGGTTTGTTGCCAGACAAAACAGAGGCGGTGAAACTGATCACTACCTGAACTATTCTTCGCTTGCTGTTTACCCAGCGGATGCGGTTCATTTCGAACAGTTTGAGACATCGAAGTTTTATAACTGTTACTTTAAAGTTCATTCTTACAATCCAAAATTATATAATTTTTTTCAACATGCTAAAAATCATTGCCATAGGATGAAGTATTGAAGTGCAATGAACTCTTTGAAAATCAAGAATTTCTATAGCCTGGTAAAAATTTTAACGACAAACCTTTTCAACATATATGCAATGGTAGGAGGCGCCAAAATACCAATAACGACTGTGGTTCCTGTCAAAGCCAAGTGGCTTAGCTCGAAGAGACGAATTGAGAATTTCTGACGCTTTCTTAAAGCAAGTCCATTAGGGAAGCTGCACGACTGTATCAAAAACTGCCAACCGTACCTCTAGTTCTTGACTGACAACTTCCAGTCGGCTTTTTATTGCCTCGATTCGTCTATTCTGTTCTTTCCTGAATGATTTGAATAACGATATCATATTTGTAAAATAACTAATTAACAATATAAAATCACTTTTTTTCCATCGCTTCACGCTTCGCCTTTTCTTCAGATACTGCGAGCTGACGACGCTTGACTGCGCTAACCATGTCTGGCGATATTTGTGGAAGCCGCATATCATCAAGAGTGAGCTGCAACTGACGGGACTGCGATGGCAGGCATTCCGGTTTTAGACGTTCGGCTAAACACAGAAATTTAGATACGGCATTTTCATCCGTTCATTTAAGAGTTCAACAGTCATATTATAATACTATTTTTACGTATGTACATGTAGCTATTCGCCCTAATTCAACTAAGTACCCTTCGACTGACTGGAAAATATCAGAGATTGAACTACCTGGAAATCGCTTATGTTCTTCTATTCGACGAGTGCATTAAACCGAACCAGTCATTGGGAACATGTTGTAAATCAATATCCTGCTATCCAACGTACCTGAGGGTGAAACAGCAGAATCTGAATGATTAGAAAGCGGCAGTTTTCCATCATCTTTGTTATTTGGTCTGCCAGGGATTTTGTTCCGACAAGGTATGATCGTCTTCAGTTCATGCTGACAGTCTGTACGCCGTTTCCTTCAATACAAAACATAGTTGCAGATGAATATTTCAAAACGGCGATGTAAATTAGTGATAACTCGGCGGCTTCAGCAAACATAAAAGCAGTTAGACTTTGCCGTCATGAAATACATTCGAAAGATCACAATGAATAAAAAGTTCGACATAGCAAGCTCAAAGATATAAGAGAAAAAAGATGGGAACTGAACGTTAAAATCACCTTGTACTTTCCATGAGCACAATTTTCTCAATGCAATATGAGGTTTACTCGTTTTCTGTTGTTGACGAAATACTGTTAGAGCAATTATTAACAGTTCGTAAAAATGGATATATCGACTATCCAGTTTACCAATTTTTCGTGTCTCTCTTTTGAACGGCTTTACTCAACAATTTCTACCCGTTGTACTCCCTTCTTCGTTTCCCATAGAAATAGACTGTCTAAGAATGAAACGTGCTTGTAAAAAGGGCCAATTCATATCGAGCCATTCAATATACCGCATTTCGATGCCTACTGCACTGCATCTTCCTCCAAGATGCCTGGAAGAGTGTTTAAGAAGCTCCTAGAGCTCTATCTGCAACTGACAGTGCAATGTGAAATTTCATTTGGGAAAGACAATAATATAATAATATAATTTGGAATGCATAATAATATATTCAAGCGAACAAATCCATATCATCGACTTACGTTAAAGTACCTAAGGAGCATAGGATCTTAAAACTCACTGCAACGAACAAATCACATTTCTAGTCAGCCAAACGATCTGAAATGTATCTATAATCACAGATGTTCCGCACCATGGAGCCGTGGCTCGGTCTGCTCAAATGGTTTATCTAAAGTAATGGCTGGGTCCAATACGCTTCAAAATCCAGTTTTGGAAGAGCTACGCTTTTGAACATACTCCGGTGTACGGCCAACATTGGCTAAGGTTTATTAGATAGAGAACCATATCTAACATGCCCAAATCCAGTAAGTAATGCTTCAAATATGAAAATACGTCCATCAATAAAGTTTTCGATCAGCCGAATTATGAATAACATATTCCGGATTCATTCCAGACCGCAGACGTCAAGCCTAATTCAATGCCCAAAACTTCAGCATCAATGAGATATACGAAAACAGCCACAAGCTCAGTGCAATAGAAAAGCTTGGAGTCAGTCATAAAGCCGCTTAATGAAGACCTACTCTAGGATAAACGAGACAATTGCCCACCTATCTTTCACACAACCGAATGGAAACCGTTACATCCGCATTGCGTTGATAATTATTGTGTCGTTGCGAAGGTTGTCTTCATCGGTCTTCAATCACCATTCACTGTTGTGTCCAGAGAAGCCCTTTTCAGCAGCATGCAAAACGCAGGACTTTGTTCATCAATATTTGGCTAATCGATTGACTACTTTTCAGGCTGACAACAGAAAGGTACAGTCGAAAAGCGAAGAGCACTGACAAGGCGAAACAATTTCAGAATACTCCTAGGCTCCGTACAGTCCTCCTTTCTACGCAATTTCAACGCGAACAGCCTCAAAACCACCAGAAACATCAGCCGAGTCAAATTAGCAGAAGTGTGATCACTATCTCTTCTTCCATTCGTTGCGAATCTCAGTTTGATGGACTAAAACATTATGCAGATGGAATTAAGAAATTGGCTGCTTATAGTCGTCGACTTATCACCAATCGCCAAAAAAGTACTCAACTGACGGTTCCGATTAATAACTCTTAATCAACGAGCCACTCTCTAC